CCTCGCACAGCAGGCTTTGTCAACAGGAAGTTTTAGTGCACAGGATGTCAACAGAATTTTGAAAATAATGTTGGTATTAAGTGCTGTTCCTGCCATTTAAAGCAAATCAATTGGGAAAGAAATATATGAAAAAAACATTTATGTCCGTTTCTTGCTGAATGCATTACAAATTAAAATGTCCTCCAACAGACGGATCAGCACCTGTCAGCCAAAATGTGTTTCAAATGTGTTTCTCTACTCAGTAGAGTATGCTCTCAATGGTAGGTAAAGCTAGTCAAAAGTAATGATTAAAACAAAAGAAGTATTTATTGGAAATAGAAAACATTACATCCAAGCCTCACCCAGTGAAAGGAGTTAAATGAGCCATGTGCAATAATGTGGATTGAGGAAAATAAACCTTATTTGATTATTCTTTCATGCAGCTTTCGTTAAATCTCTGCATAAGAGTGAGAGCACAAACAGCTAAATAAAAAAAAAAAAGGTACTGAAGAAGAATTCACAGGTTTTTTCCATGATTGCAAAAAGTGATTCACATTCATTTTCTCCTTCCAAAACACACAAACTAGCCAAGCACCCAACCGGCCAAGATAAACGTACTGGCTGAGAAACATCTGAATACAAGGCAGACAGAAAACACGGACACCATGTTTTTACCGTTCAAAGAGAAAGCAGACAAGCAGACACTACTTTCAACAGATACCATGTGCCTGGGTCTGAATTTATGAAAATCAGTCAACTTATATAACATCTAACACAAGAAAAAGCAGTAAAAAAAGACAGGCACTGGTCCCCTTTGACCTGCAATAACCTCATCCTCATTCCAAGTTCAAATCCTGACAGGGAAAGGGAGGGACAACTAGCTGCTGGAACGGGAAACGGAAAGGTCATCGGGGAGTGATCCTACATGTCTTCACAAAGGTTATTGTGGACTATTTATGTGGCAAAACAATTTCACATCACCAAACTGTGAAGCAGTAAGACAGGGTCAAGAACATTGCATTATCAAGTCTTATAAAATGTCCAGTCTGGAGTGTCTGTGCTTTTCCCCTGGCACCCAGGACACTTTGGAAAAACACATAAAAGCTGGGCTTCTCTGTCCAACTCAAAGGGGTTGAAGTGTGTTAACTTATAACGTGTTAAATAACTCACAGCAACAAGACAACAGCCACAAATGAAACAAAGTAAACAGCTATGCCTCAGAATCCCTTTATGAGGATATGTTGTGATACTGATCATTTATCCCACTTTAGCAGTGACAAATACTGCATCTAAAGTGGTTGGCAAACCAGAAGCCAACTTATTCTAAAAATCAGCTGATGCTGAAGAGCGTCCTGCTGATGGTCCGTTCGAGTCAAAGATATTTGCAAAAAAGAAACTTTTTCAGGCGACTATCACATGATTTTAAACGCCAAACAATTTTACCGATTGGAGGTACAAAAAGGTAATTTGTAATTGTCTTAGTTTTCAGTATAAAATTTGTAATTTGACAGTGTGAAACTGCCAACAATGGCTTTGTAGTGTGCGGGGAAATCCCAGTCTGAAAGCATGGGAAGCTGCACATGAGTAGCCTCTTCCTAGAAGTGCAAGGGAAGTCTCTTTCAGGTTTTTGTCTCCATTAATGACTTCCCAGCTGACACACTAGCCTTGGATGGTTTGGTGGTTTGTACATGTGGGAGACTGACTAATATCTTAGCATGGGAAGTTTGTCTCTTCTATAAATTACCACATGAACACCAATTTACCACACACACAGCTACATTGACAACAGTCCAACGTGGCCATACGGCCTCCCCACCCACTAACAGAAGATTTGTAGTGGAAACATCGGCACTATTTAGCAAAAGTGACCTTGAGGAGTCACTACAGGATTTCCTATAACCCCATTTTATACCATTTATAAACACACACTACCCTACAGTGAATTCTTTTAATAAACCATGTTGCCTCAAGTTTCCTTTCCTGCACTGCCAACATATTGTTCTGCATTTCCTTGTCACATTTTCATCCTTCCCATTATTCCCAGTGCTCGTTTATTTTCAACCTCCTGGAATCCTTTTGAAGGTTTAGTCACACAACAAGCTTCCCTCCATTTACCGCAACATCTTTGCTCTCTGCCTTAAATTAAATACTTGCTGTTATTTCTGCAGCCTCTGTCTCCAATGTCTGTCTAGTAATAATACATCTAAAATGAGTCATGCTGCTTACTAATTCTTCATATAATTTTTTGCACTACCATAATTTGCAGCTGCAAATATTCAGCTTTTAAACATCTAATCTCTAACTGTATAGCCGGCAAGCAGACTGACTTTAAGTAGAAGAAAACATTTCTGAAAAATAATTAAGGTGCTATGTTTATTGTCCTGGGGAAAATGGGCGCTGAATGTAAGGCTTTTAATCTTATGCCTGCTCATGTCCATAACCCTCACCTAATGTGTAACGGAAACCTACCGTTACTCGAACGAAGAGCAAATAGTAGCTTGTTTAACCCAATGTACAAATCACTCACAAAAACATTTACAACTGGGGAAGTAAGAAATAAATACTAATTAAACAGTCCATCTTGCCTTCTCTTCCACGCTTTTGAGACAGTTTGAGTTGGCAAACTAATTTGAACACATTACAATTAAGCAACCATTACAGTTTTTGATCATCTGTACACCAGGATATTTTTAAATCACTATAGTATGTACTGCACAACAGAAAATGAGACTCACTTTCCACTTTTTCCATATCACACAATCTGGCTGCCAAAAAAGAACAGCCAGCAGAAGAATACACACTCAAGGATGCAACTAAAGATCTTTGGCTTCTAGATAAGGGAGACCTAACATATGATTACTACATTGGCATTCCTCACTGGCTTCACAGGCAGTTTCATTTGAATGCCATCAACCCCCCGGCTTGACTGTCTAGCCACCATCAATGTTTAGCAAACCCTCTGGTATGTATCAGAAACTTTTACGCAAGCTATGTGAACTGACCTATGCCGTAAGAGTGTAGGAAAGTCTACAGGGTCATCATCACTTACTCAACACTGTTCTCTGAAGTGTGCTAACACTGTCTAGCTAACATCATCTCTGACACACATGCAATCTGTACAAAGCAACAGAGCGTACACATACTTTACCTAAAAATAGCTGTGTTCTTGTTGTAGCCAGGTGACCTCTCTCCATTTCCAACATTGTGATTATATTATGACAGCACTGTGTCAAGAGTGTGCTCAGTTTCTATCAAACTGCAAGCCTGACCACAGCTTGTGAATATTCATTTCTCACCCAAAAAAATAATCAACATTGCTGCAAGTCAGTCACACAATGATTCCTGGCATGTAGATACCAGATATTAAAAACGAAGCCTTAGATAATAAGAGCCACGGTGCACACGTTGGCAAGAGCAGGGCTGATATGAATCAAGTGGGATGTGGGGGCGTAGGATGACAACACACAAAGCCAGAGGCTGTGGTTGCAACTGTAAATCAGTGTAGTCTCAGCCTGCCTTACTATCCTTATTCACCGGTTTCCCATAACCGAGTGCACAGTAGGCTGAGGATGAAAACACACACATGCAGCTACAACTAAGGGAACTAACAAGCTACCACAGTGACCTCTCACCCACTTTCACTATACTGCCCTCCGCTGCTTCTTACTGTTACATAAAACGAAATAATACTACTGCTTTCTCGCAACACACATGGGTATTAATATATAGATATATAACTGTCACCAGCTACACAAAGCTAAATGTAGCCTTGTTTTCGTTGCAACGTCAAAGCTTGCTATATAGCAGTGTCCGCATACCTTTCTGAGGGATTCCTTTAATGCAAAGTGCTCTTGTGTGTAGATTAAATGGTCGCCCGTGGTTTCTGGGACACTGGACGTTACGGGTTTGGATGACACATTTTCAGACAACGACCGGACACCAACACATGAGGTGAATTTGTAGAAATGACGGCTGCTGCTGACTAGCTGGTTTAAACGCAGACATCTTCCGCGCAGCGCCATCTCTGTTGACAAGATCAACCGCTCGTGTGCGCATGCGCACGATGTGAGCGTAACAGTAACCCACTGGGAGAAGCAGGTGGAGTTTCTCTGTAGGATTAAACATTAACCCAGTGGAAAATGTAAATGTTAGTTGCCTAGTGTTTTCACTTTCAGTCATGTTCCAGTTGGGGAAGTACCACCAAACAAATCTTCTGTTTGTTTGGTTATCAAAAAAAAGCTTTCACCACTTTCAGTATTACATGCAGGCTATTAGAGCAGTTTAAGGGTTAGTGCCCTTCAGGGGTCACTAGATAAATCTGGAGCATCACAGAGTTGGGATTTTCTTCTACTGATGGCGGATTTCTTGGGAAATTCTGGATAGATTTACCTTTTCAGACCTCTAAAAATAGATGTAATCACTCTTGGGAAGTCCTGACTCATGCAGTATGTGACAGTGGGTCACAAATAGACAGGCTTAATTTTAAGGGTCCATAAGATTAGCATGTTTAAGCTCATTTACTGAACATTTAATGTACATTTTCTTCTATTCCAGGCATCTACTGCATACCATTAATTTCCCTATGATACATTCATTCATCATAGGGATTGTCTGCTAGTTGATTTTCATAAAGAAGAGCTAAAACTGGCAGACACACTTTAGTCCTTCACCATGATGTATGCCACAAAATGTTAATGATCTCATAAAAATGTATGAGAAAAAGTTAAGTAAACTTTAAATGTATGCAAACTGAGTTAGGCTCTGAAGATGTATCTGTTTCTCATGAAACCTTTCCACAATGAATGATGGAGACATTAAAAATGAGTTATAAACAAGCACATTTAATGACAGTTGCTTCTGTGTATGAAACAACACATGGGCCCATTTGCTCAGACTATGCACCATATGAGAGAGAAGCATTATATAACCCTTTCCAAATACAACTTTTTTATTGCATCTTTTCAAAGGGTAAAATTATGAGGCTACAAACCTGACCAATATGGGGAATCATTTACACTGGAACTTGTGAGGTTTTACAAATTCTTTCTTTATTATGTCCGTCTAGTCTTCTCAGACTGCAAATCCATTTTATGAGGGGAGGGAGAATGTCCTTGGGTGCTAATCTGACATACGAAAAGCTCCTCAGGTCCAGTCTAGCAGATGACACAGCCACCTTTCTCCTTGAAGGGGTTCTTATCCTCTGCAATGCCTTTGAAGAGGATGTCCTCCTCCTGACCGGCTTGAATGTACTCCTTGATTTCCTCACAGCATTTAGATGTCTAAATTGATCAGACAAAAGATGTTGAGACAGTCCTATCCAGCAATTTATTTCAGTTTTAAATGCCCTTCCTGGTCAAATTAATGTCACTTTGTATAATTACATTCAAACAGGTTGACAAATTGCTTGTCATAGATAAAACTCTGGGAACTACTTTATTCACTGT